ACTATCACGTCCCACTGACTCAGGGACCAGGCTCCTTGTGGCTTGCAGCTCTGCCATTTGATATTATTCTATCAGATTTCTATCAGATTAAATAGCACACACTTTAGCTAATTCTGTGCGAATTGTTTGTCATTCTAACGAAGAGTGGGAGGGGTAAAATTAAACATCAATGCCAAGCCAAGATCCAGAAAAACAACAATAGGAAATGTCCAGTCCTCTTCATGGCTGGCCCGGGACTCCTTCTCCTCTGCATGAACCCAGTCAGTCCGTCAGCCCTGGCACAGTATAGCTGTCAGCCCACAGGTAAAGCCATGTGACCCAGGTCTGCGCGGCTAAATGCCAAAGCAAGTTCCTGCAGGGCAGGAGGCAGTGAAAGAGTAAGAGTAAGAAATTGTTTGCACCATCAGCTGTGCAGGATCTGGGAGGAAACGTTAGCTTTTCCAGTGCAGCCACAGCTTGCCCTGCTGAGCAGCGCGAAAGGCTCTTGCAAATGCAGCTCAGACCCTCCACTCCAAGTCACACTTAGGGCTCCAGGAAAGAAGTGTTTGCAAAGAACACGACCCTGCTCTTTGCATTCCCCCCACATTCCCTCATGCATGCTGATGTGCCCTGAGGAACCTCTTCCAGCCCAGGCATGGTACTGGCCCTTAGTCCCTTGCCCTGTGGTGGCCGCAGTTCCCAAGCATGGTACTGGCCCTTTGTCCCTTGCCCTGTGGTGGCTGCAGTTCCTCTGAGCACAGCCTCATCCCTGGCGTGGCCTTGTGTCTCTGTTAGTATGTTCCCAGAAGTCTCATCCACTCTCCCTTTGCTCTCACATTCCCCAGGCTCTTTTTGGTCCCTCTGAACACCATTGCTGTGCCTCCCATCACTACACTTCAGCAGGCAGTCCAACCTCATTGCCAGGATGCGCCTGGCACGGCATCTTGCCCACACAGGTCCTGCGAGGCCACCATCCAACCTTGCTTGCATGGAGGCTTGGCTTTCTTTGTTGATTTTTACATTCCTGTTTGTTTTTAGACTGTGGAGTGGCAGGTGCAGCACTGGGTTAGTCACACGCCCAGCCCTCCAGCTCCAGTCCTTTCCTCTCCCCTTGTTCTTTCCCTTAACCGCCCTGGTAACTTTTGTTTGCCGACTTGGGTCGCATATGCCCATAAAATTGGAAATAAAGCTTGTTTGGGCAATTACGTAATGGGTTGAGCACAACTATGCCTGTCTTGTTTCTCCACCACCGCCTCAGGACCCAGGCTGCTCCCTCCCTAGACCTCATTACCCCCGAGAACAAGTACAAAGCCATGAGGAGGAGTCACATCCAATGCTGAAGAACTTGGCCTGGTTGACTTGCTCAGGTGTCTATCAACGTGCTCTCCCTTCCAGACAGGGAGGTGGGGCAAAGGGGCCGAGTCCAAGCAGAAGTCGCTTGGGGGACTCGGTGGCCATTTGCCAGGGTCTTCCCCAGCACTCAGTAATTCTCAGCCAGTTACCTTTCCAGAAGACTCCTTCCCTTCACGACGAATATTTGCAGCTTTAAGTTTTCAGTGAAACACACACAGAGACACACACAATGGCTTCAGATTGGCAGAGAGCAGACACAAGGATAGATGTCTTTTATGGCATGATTAACATATTAAATGTCACCAAAGACTGTTGGCCAGGCAGGCAGCAGACGGTGTGCCCCTGCCACCCGTGTGACGAACCGGCACACTGTTGTGAATGAGGCTGGCCCAGACCTGCTTGCTGCGAATAATTGGACAGGAAACCAGCATGGAAGATATCTGTATCTGTCATCCTAATAAATCTTTTTTAAGTAAAATCAAATAACATGAAGAGACCTCATTTTCCTTTTCAACATTTGGAGGGACAAAGCCTTGGGGTAGCTTTGCACAGTCAGACAGCCTAGCAGGCAAGACCAGGATACACACCAGGCCTGCCGCCAGGAGAGGCCCCTCTCTGGCACAAGCTGAGCCCAGAGATCATTCCGTACAGAATGTTTGTGTTTAGAAAGTGCCACTCGGGCCCGGCGCCGTGGCGCAAGTGGTTAAGTCCTCGCCTTGCACGCCCGGGATCCCATATGGGCGCCGGTTCTAATCCCGGCAGCCCCGCTTCCCTTCCAGCTCCCTGCCTGTGGCCTGGGAAAGCAGTCGAGGACGGCCCAAAGCTTTGGGACCCTGCGCCCGCGTGGGAGACCCGGAAGAGGCTCCTGGCTTCGGATCGGCATAGTATCGGCCCGTTGCGGCTCACTTGGGGAGTGAATCATCGGACGGAAGATCTTCCTCTCTGTCTCTCCTCTCTGTATATCCGCCTTTCCAATAAAAAATAATAAAAATAAATCTTTAATTGGCCAACCACATCCCAAGGTACCCAGGGTGCTGGCCGTGAGCAGTGACACTACCTGTGCCCTCTGAACTCGTCTGCTGTCACTGGAAACAGAAGACCCCACAGTCTGGTGGGGGATTGGGGTCAGTGCTTCGCTTTGGCTCAGGGTTCCAGGGGAAGGGTGAGTGACCACTGAACAGTGCCCTCTTTGTTGACGGATTCCCAAGGCAGCACCATAGCAGGAGGCAAGGACCTGCGTGCAAACCTGTGGGGGCTTCACCCTGAAGAACTTCTTGGAGCCCTAATCACCTCAAAACACCATAATTGGACTGAATTTATACTGTCTTAATGCCGTACCACAGGATCGCATGCTGACACATGGCTGCTGGGGGATCCTAGCCAACCCTAGCACCTCCATCCCCGTAACACTGAAGCCCACCCCTGCCCTGCCTGTCTTTGTATCTGTCTGTTCTAACAAGTAGGAAACAGCAAATTCCCTCACATAAAAACAAGGGGCTATTGAGGGCAGTCAACTGAAAGTCGATGTTGTCAGGCCAGACAGCAGGTTCTGTAGGCCAGGTCCTTGTCCCTCTGGGAACACTCGGGATGGGTTTCCAAGGCAGGCAACCAGCAAAGCTGGTCCCAAGCACAGCCAGGACTGCTCAGGCCTGTCCCCAGTTCTTCTCTTTCTTTTGTTTGAAGATTTATGTATTTATTTGAAAGTTAGAGAGAGGAAGAGAATATTTCCTATCTCCTGGCTTACTCCCTCAATGGCCCCAGGAGTGAGGAACTCCACCTGGGTCTGTCATATGGGTCGCAGGGGTGCAAGAACTTGGGCCATCCTCCACTGCTTTGCCAGGTGCACTAGCAGGGAGCAGGATTGGAAATGGAGCACATGAAACTCCAACCAGTGCTCACTTGGAACGTCAGTACCACAAATGGTGGCTTAATCCGCTGCACCACAACACTGGCCTCCCCCTCCTCCTAACTATTTTTGTTAACTGAGCAAAGCAACAATTTCCTCAATGGACTCCATTTCTCCTTTAACTAAAAGGAAAAAAACACAGCCACTGCAGGAAAATGCACAGCACAGCCGAGAGATGTGGAATGAAAGCCTAGAGGGAAGAAAATGCTTATAAATTTTTTAGAAAGCTTCAAGAGTTATTGGCTCTTGAATATAAACCATATCCCGTGGTTTATATGCATTTAACGGCACAATCAGCTCCAAATCTCCCCTGGAACTCAGGCTGCAGGTGAGCTCCCTAACTCTGTGTTCACGAATGACTCTGCCAAAGCATTCATCAAAAAAAACCATCGGAAGGAACACAGCCGCAAGCCAGAGCTACAGATGTGAGATGTGGAGGCAGAAACCAAGGTAAAAGTGTAAATACAGCCAGAGAGAACATTCTTCTCACTGTTCTGTAACCTTGGCATTGATCCAACCCTTAAAATACACAAAAGCCCAGAAACTCCCAGATTTGACCACTGGTTTGAATGGCAGTAAGGCGGCTTGTATAGAGTCCTCCACTCAGCTCACAACAGAGGACACCCGGAAGGACAAAGGCCCTTTCGCCATCCTTGACCCTGTGTGAGCAGAGTTAACAAGGGAACTAGATAAGAGGCAGGGCTGTGAGTTGCATGCATGTCAGGATGTAGCCCAGTTGAACCTTACAACCATCCAAGTCAGTCCTGTGGGCTGAGTAGCATGTGTATTTCAGAAATGAGGAAATTGAGGCTCCGTGAATTTAGATGGCGTTGCAGTAATTATTTCAGACTTCCTGACCAGAATTCCACAGGCTAGGGAGGGAGGTGAGGATAGGGACTTAAACAACAGGCATTTAACACTCCCCAGTTAAAGGAGGGAGGAGGCTGGAAGCCCCAGGCACCCACAGGTTGGGCTAGGTGAAGACTTTGTGCTGGCTCGCAGACGGCTGCCTTCGCCCTGAATCCCGTCATAGCTTCTCCTCAGTTCTTGTGCGCTCCAGTGTCTCCGCCTCCTCTTGTATGGACAAGTTGATCAAGTCCAAGGTTAGACCACTGCTGCAGTTGAGCTTCCCATTACCTCCTCACAGGTGCAATCTCCAAAATAAAGTCACACTGGGAGTCAGGGCTGTCATCCAGAGGTGTAGGGCAAACACAGGATTCAGTCCGTCCCAGATGGCACATCCAAGAGCCCACAATTGTGAAGTCTTCTACATTCAGAGCTCACCACCTGAACCATGCCACAGTGAGTCTGAGAAAAGAGGCAGCTCATGTGAGAGCTGATTTGGCAGAACCTGGTGCTGGGAAGAAGCCCAACCTGCTAGGCAGGGTGGGGAAGGACTCACGTGAGCTGGGTCACTGGACCAGCCAGGAGGTCCCCTGGATGGCACGTGGCACAACCTGCCCAGGGTCAGGAGGGACTCACGTGAGCTGGATTACTGGATCAGCCAGGAGACACCCCTCTGGATGGCACATGGTACAACCTGCCCAGGGTCAGGAGGGACTCATGTGAGCTGGATCACTGGACCAGCCAGGACACCCCTCTGGATGGCACCTGGTACAAACGGCTCTGTGTTCCTTGCTCACTACAATGCAGACACACTTGCTTACACTCTATTGTATATGAAGCACATGCTTCCCCGATCCCCCAAACACTTGCATTTCATTGGGCTTTTTCTTTTGTTTTCTTCTCTCCCAACCACCAGCTAATGTCCTGGAGGGTGACTCCATGGACCAGGATGTCGAGAGCCCTGTGCCCATCCACCAGCCAAAGTTACCTAAGCAAGCCAGGGAGGACCTGCCCCGGCACATCAGTCGGGACCGGACCAAAAGGAAAATCCAGAGGTACGTGAGGAAGGATGGCAAGTGCAACGTGCACCATGGCAATGTGAGGGAGACCTACCGCTACCTGACCGACATCTTCACCACCCTCGTGGACCTCAAGTGGAGGTTCAACCTGCTCATCTTCGTCATGGTGTACACAGTGACGTGGCTCTTTTTTGGAATGATCTGGTGGCTGATCGCCTACATCCGAGGGGACATGGACCACATCGAGGACCCCTCCTGGACTCCCTGTGTCACCAACCTCAATGGGTTCGTCTCTGCTTTTTTATTCTCCATAGAGACAGAAACCACCATCGGCTATGGCTACCGGGTCATCACGGACAAGTGCCCGGAGGGCATCATTCTCCTCTTAATCCAGTCTGTGTTGGGCTCCATTGTCAATGCCTTCATGGTGGGATGTATGTTTGTAAAAATCTCTCAACCCAAGAAGAGGGCAGAGACCCTGGTCTTCTCCACACATGCGGTGATCTCCATGCGGGATGGGAAGCTGTGCCTGATGTTCCGGGTAGGGGACCTCAGGAATTCCCACATTGTGGAGGCTTCCATCCGAGCCAAGCTGATCAAGTCCAAGCAGACCTCAGAGGGGGAGTTCATCCCGCTGAACCAGACGGACATCAACGTGGGCTACTACACGGGGGACGACCGCCTGTTCCTGGTGTCGCCGCTGATCATCAGTCACGAAATCAACCAGCAGAGTCCGTTCTGGGAGATCTCCAAAGCTCAGCTCCCCAAGGAGGAGCTGGAGATCGTGGTCATCCTTGAGGGCATGGTGGAAGCCACAGGTAAGACGGGGTCCCTCCTGGGCTGTCTGGGGCCAGAGGCTCCTTTAGACAGGACCCGGCATTCTGACTGCGACAGACAGAAACGAACATCTGGCTCAGTGTTGATACTGGCCCCTCCCTTCATGAAAGTGTGTGTTCTGAGTGTCCTTAAGCATATCCACCAAGAAGCTTAACCATTTAGTCTTTGTACTCTGTTGGCCAGTCAGTGAGAGCTCTTGTCTATGGGTTGGCTACCCAGATGCCTACAACCTGGGCCAGAACTGGGCCGGACTGAGTCCAGCAGTGTGGAACTAGCTCAGTCTGAGTCTCCCCAGCGGGTAGTGGTAAGGACTCCACAGTAGCCATGGCCTGCTGCTTCTCAGAGCAGGTTGAGCCTGGGCTCAGAGCTGAATACAAAACACAGGCGCTCTGATAAGGCGGCCATCACACGCAGTATCTTAGCCACGAGGCTAAGTGCCCACCATTGCCACCACCCCGCCTTAGCTTTTAAGAACCCTTTAGAAAATAAGTTATTGAGTACTTTTAAAAATAGATTCATATATTTTTTAAAACTTCCAAATATTTACTTAGACTAAAATTTAGTATCTCCAAAGGACCCTCCAAGTGGTTTTAAAACACTGCTCATTGGAATCATTGAGGTTTGTTTTTTTATCACCAAGCCAAATGGAAGAAAGCAAGCCTTCCAAATGAAGTCCAACCTACTGCTTTAATTAAACACAGAGACAGAGAAAACCTTTCCCCTGTTCCCAGAGCCCTTAGTGACACCCACAGTCGGTCATGCTTCTATCAAGTGCACCTCTCAGCTCCCCAAGCTTCACTTGCTGAGCCCCATGAACATCTAATACTGTGGACCTCGCCCGGATACAACTCTAGCAGAGAGAAAAGTAATTGCAGATCCATCCTTCTCGATACCATCCGTGCTGCTGTTAATGGCTGGCGATGGGTGTGTTTTAGCGATAACGTCCTATTCCCCCAGTGGTGAGCACAGTTCAGTGGGGGCGTACCTGTCCCAGCAGCTGAGCACACTGTTAACAGAGCTGCAAGCTCTGAGTCCTGCCAAGAACAACGTCTCCCGGGCAGAGCATCAACCAGCACCCTGCTCTCTCCTTCCCATACTGTCTGCTCTTCTGAGTTGCTGCTTTGTTCTTGGGGTCCTCGCCCCTTAATACAATCTCCCCATTTGTGCTTTTCAGTCCACCGCCTGGGGGGCTTCAGGCTGGTGGTTCTCTGAAAGTGTGCGGTGCCAGGTTCTTTCTCCTCCTGTGACCACCTCGACCACCTCATCCTGGTCATCCCTCTCCAAGGACAGACCTCCGCCATGTTTCTGTCCCACTTGGCAAAGCTACAGCCTCCAGCCATGTTCTCTGGGGTGGTATCACTTTAGTAATAGGTTTGCAGATCGCTGTAAACATCGAGAATGCAAAGGGCGTGGCATGGAACTTAGTGAAAAACAACAGGAACACGAATCGAAGCTGTGAATGTCGTCTTTCCTTTTATTGGTTGAGAAGACAGATTTTTCCATCCACTGGTCCATGCCCTGAATGCCCACAACACCTGAGGCTGGGCCCAGTTAGTGCCAGGAACTCTATCTGTGTCTTACCCATGCGCGTGGCAGGGCCCTAACTGCTCAAACCACTATCTGCCGACTCTGAGGGTGTGCAATAGCAGGAGGCTGGAACCCGTAGCTGGAGTGGGCGCTCAAACCAGGTAGAGGACGCGGGCATCAATTGCTTGCTCCTAAAAATCTTTAAAGACTAATGAATCACAGCCAACTCTCCTTATCTCTGCATTCGGCATCCGTGGCTTGGATCCACACACACGGAAAACCAGTGCCTGTACTGAACCCCCAAAGACTTCTGCTCTTATTATGCCCTCAATAGTGCAGTGTAGCCACTGCTCACACAGCGTCGTGTGAGGTATCACATGTCATGCAGAGATGCATGCCGGACAACGTGCAAAGGTTTCATGCATGCTTTATACCATCTGACCGGAAGCACAGGTGCACCTGCAGGTATGGGTAGGTCCCAGTCCCTGGGGCCAGGCTTTTTCCCATGTAGTGCTTGGAATCTAGAACTGAATGGCAGCGACTTGCTCATCAGGGGTGTCTCTCCGGCCTGTGCCATGCTAGGCTTGTTCTTTATTTCTGACTCATGAGCCCCTTTCTCTGCTTTGTGAATTCCCATAAACACAGTGCTCTACCTGGGGCTGATTCGCCTGTCTCCGCGAGCTCAGGGACTCTGGCTCCCCCTCGTGGTGACCATGGCGTCACTGCAGCCGACGGCATCCTCGGACACCCCCACACCCCAAACTATCCTGCTACCAAGTTGTGGTTGTGGTGGTGATTGTTGGTTTAGACTTCAGGAACAAATGCCACTGAAAACATCTCTCTGGCTCCTGGTGCTCACCTGAGCCTCGGATTTCAGGAGTCAGCTTTCTGCTCCTTCAAACCCAATCTAGAAAAACGAATGAATCAGGGAGCAAGCCAATCATCTTTGTGACGTCGGAGCTTTGCGATTCTCCTCGGGGCAGGTGCTATCTGTCTGATGACAGCTGGCGCTGAGCGAGCCTCTCCAAATGGAGACGTGAGATTTCTTGGTAATTAACAGAGATGCTTGCCCAGGAGCATTCGGAGGTCTTTGCCTGCCTCGCTTAGGGAAAGCTGGGTGGGAAAAGCAAGTCATTGCTAATTTTGCTCTTTTAAAAAAAATCACTTGTCTACTATCTGTTAAACAGAGAAGAGGTGTTCTAGAAAATTCTAGAAGTACATGGAAGCCACACAGACCTTGTTTGTTGTTCATGGGATTCCTACAGCAAAAGACTATCTGAATTTCACTGGGATACTTTTTCTTTATGAGTGAAAGATCTGTGAGCATTCAAGAGACCCTTGGGGAGAAAAAAAAAGTTTCAATATTTCAAAGCAGGTTTTAAAAATGTGCACCAAAGTTCACTTCTGGAAACCCAGCTCACAAAGATCAGACTACACATGGTGGGACAGGATTAGAAAAGCAGGCCTCCCCTGGATTCCTTGCTCCCAGTCTGTCTTCTTTGACTGTGAACCAACTGTCCAGTAGCCTGGGCTCTCGGGCCTCTTTGCAGGCTGAGCAGCCACAGAGCAGCGCTATCTTCATGTTGGCATGCGCCGATGCCAACCTGGTGCTTCTGCAGCTATGCCTTGCCCCCAAAGGCTTGTGCTGGGTCCCAGCAGGTGCTGGAAGTTCAGACGGGCCTAGGCTGTCCTTGCTGCTGGGGCAGTGACGCCCTCTCTCGACACAGGTCGCTTCCGGGAAGGCAAGCAGGGGAGTGTGCTCAACCTTGGGTGCCTTGAAGGGCTCCCATTCAAAGCAACTACCAAGCAGCCACGGAGGACAGGGCCACATCCGGGACAGATGGCTGGGCCTGCTCCTGCCCCAGGCAGAGGGACATGTGAGGTGACCTCCCGCAAGTCTTCTAGTCATGCAATTCTATTTTTGGAAACAAATCAACTCCTGGAAAATTCTGCCACCAACAGCCCAGACATCTAAGAGGGGGCTGTGTCTCATCTGCCAATGTGTTTTTGAAAGGGGGCCGTTTCGGTCCCCGACACATGGGTGTTTACAGCAGGTTCCATAGCTACGTAAACAGACACGATCAGCAGCTGCAGCAAGTGGCGTTAAAATAGTAAAGCACTCGCATCGGAGGGTATTTATAGGAGCCAACGGGCCTCGCCGATGGATAACCGCTCCTCAGACCCGGGCCGGCTGCCAGCGCACTCCCGGCTACAGCCTCTCAGATTGACGCTCTTCCATATTTAGCCCGCCAGCAATTATACAACTGTGACAGGCAGCCCCTCTTGTATGTTGCTTTATTACAATTACAGAAACTATCAGCCACGTGGAGAATTGGACCGGCTAGAGCGCCGCGCACCTGCCGCCGAGTTGCGTGCTCGTCGGCGGACGGCCACACTCGTGGCGACTGTGTCCCAGTCACTGCACCCAGCTTAGTCCCTTCCCGGCACGTGTCCCTGCTAACCAAGGTCCGTTCTGATGCCTGACCTGAGCACCAGTGTTGCCCACAGATCAATTATCCACCAAATGTTTCAACTTCCAGCTGTCGGCCACATGTCATCATTTTGCTTTTTACAATCTGCCGGTTTGAATCAAGAACCAGTCACAAACCACCCTCTGACATTTCTCCTCAGCTCCCGAGTCCAGCAGCTGCCCTTCCCTCTCCGCCTGTTGTCCTCCTTCCTGATAAGCTTCTATTTTTTTTTTCAAGATTTATTTTATTTCTCTTGGAAAGGCAGATTTACAGACAGAAGGAGAGACAGAAAGATCTTCCATCAGCTAGTTCACTCCCCAAATGGCTGCAATGGCCAGAACTGGGCCAATATGAAGCCAGGAGCCAGGAGTTTCTTCTGGGTCTCTCACATGGGTGCAAGGTCCCAAGGTTTTGAACCATCCTCTACTGCTTTACCAGGCCATAAGCAGGGAGCTGACTGGGAAGAGGAACAGCTGGGATGTGAACTGGTGCTTATATAGGATGCCAGCACTTGCAAGTGGAGGATCAGCCAACTGAGTTTTCTTAAAAAAGAAAACTCAAATATTTAAATAGCTATATCCTTTTTTTGTTCACATTGGTGTCGAGAATCAGTACACGGACATTTCAATTTGTATACAAAGCTTAACATACGTACCAAGAGTAACAAGCCGTGAATTGTCATTTTTGAAGTTATCCCAGTGACTTTTCAGCTTCAAGTTTGAAGGCAGCTCTTCTGCAAGAGGCTACCAAGTACCAGTGTCTGCGGTTGCTGTCACTAAATCCCACCCACTCATGATTGAATCTTCTCAGAGGCGTTTCCTGCCAGGAGGCTCCCAAAAGCACTGAGAACCACTGGAGATAGTCTGATCAAACTTGTCCGTTTATTGTAAAGCAAGCACAAACAGACTAGAAAAGGAGAAGGCAGGACATTCCCCGACAGTCCTCCCATACAACAATGACTCCATAATTGGCCAGAAGGCATG